TTATGGCAAACATGCCTGCTGGCACTTGGGAGGCAGGATGACATCATGGTTAAAAACACAGTCTCTGATATCCGATGATCTGGGTATAAATCCCAGGGATGCCTCTTCTGGGCTGTGTGACCTATGGAAGTCAACCCACCTCTCTGAGCTTCTCAGACTGTAACAAAAGTTCATGGCAGAAACTACCTCAGAGGATTGTTGTGAGTAATAGATTATATATATATATAGCCTCTGGCATGGTGTGTGGTATCTGAAAAACACTCCATAAGCATTATTTGTTGTTGTTGTTGTTATTTTATTATTATTATTATTATTACTATTATTATTATTACTGCTAATGTCAGGATGAGCAGAAATCTAGGGAGGAATGGGTTATCCATGGTGAGTTGTACAGGTGTCCATTATGCAGCTCTGAATGAGTACCAAGGGTCAAACAGGAGGAGGAAATAAAGATGACTAGTAACTGCATCAGTTAGCTACAATCACAATAATGGTGCATAACAAACAAGCACAGAACCGCAGTGACAAGCAATAAGAAGCATTTACTTAGCTAACCTGTTCATGGTCAACTGGAGCTTGGCTGAGCTAGGCTCTTCACTGAAGTTTGGGCTCAGGGTGGCTTGACATGTGTGTGTTCTGGGGCCAGGCTGAGCGGGTAGCAGCTACCTTCGGGGAGCTCTTCTCCCAGCCACGGTAGAAACACACAAGGCCCCGGGGGGCCTAAACTTGGAATAGACATGCTGTCACTTGACTGCACCCTAATGGCCAAAGGTAGACACATGGCCAAACCCAAAGTGAAGGCTTAGGAGCCTGCCTGTCCCTTGAGTGGGAAGAGCAGAAAAGTCCCATGTCTAAGAGCACAGACACGGGGAGGAGGAAGAAAGGGGGCCAGTGATGTATTTACTCCAATAACCAAACACCAGGCAAACCTCGGAAAGGGGTCCCACACTGCCCTGCTCTCCTCACCGGTTTCTGCAGCTCCTGCCTCATTGGCTCCTGGTCAAAATCTGGAAGCCCCTGAGCAGTAACATTTGCAGTCCATGGGGACCCCATCCCCATCTTCCCAACATCTGGACCTGCTCCGGGGAGCCATTAATCTCGGGCAATTTCTTCCCTCACTTGATTTGTTTATTTAAGGAAAACAAGTTGCTCCTAATTAGAAATACTGCTGTCGGAATGTTCCGTGCATCCTAGGCTGCCTGTGTTCAGACCTTCTGCCTAAAATTATACCTGCGCTCTTAACATCTGTGAGTCTGTTCAGCAACTGTCCTAAGTGCAGGCTTCTGGTGAGGGGGATCTGGGCTGTTGTGGGGGCCGAGGGAGCCAGGGTAGAGGAAGACACGGACTTCAGAGCAAAGGCACTCAGGAAGATGAGCATAACACCATCCCAGTGCCCTGCTCGAGCTGGCGCCACCGATGCCTGAATCAACACTCAGAAGGTACACAGCCCGAGCACAGTTCAGATGCGCAGAGCAGACAGAAGGGGAGTTTTAAAGGTTCAGAGATGTTTTCTTTTTCGGACCCTCTCAGCTGTGTTGACAGCCACACACACACACCTTTACAGCCCTATGGACACTCAGGCACACCCGTGGAGTTGCACACGCTCAGAAACACACACATACATGAGACACGCACAAAAGTTACGCTGCCCCAGACAGGCAAATTCACAGGAACACACATCATACACCCAGAGACATGTGAGAAGATGCAACACAACATTCCAGATGCACATGTTCAGAAACTCATGCATTCACAGGAGACACGCACAAAATTCATGCCGCAACATCCAGAAACACACATTCAGAGACACTCACATGCACACTGAGACACACTCAAATGGACATGGCAACCAACACAGCCGGGTACTGGTGCTGGGAAACGGACACACAGAGATACAACCCAGCATGCCATACTGCACACAGGCACACATGTGTACACGCGGAGATCCACAAGTTCATACTGCAAGACACACGGCTCACACCCACATAGGAAGCACACACATACACAGAGACACAACCAAATGTACCCTCTAACATTTACACAGAGGCACACGCTCAGAAACTCACACGTATACACGGAGACACTCACAGAGGCTGCACAGCACACAGACCCTCACAGCACACGTGTGCATTTGTGCAGCTGAGCACCTGCCTCGTTGCAGACATACATCCAACTTACACACGCACAACTGCTTACCGCTCACAAGTACATCCTGACTCACACAGGCACACACACACACACACACATAAACACAAGCATAAATCCATCGCAATCCCATGCCTACACACTCATACTGATACTAGTCTCACAGGCATGTACACACACTTAAGGTTTTTATGTAAGTCATACTCACCTGCGCACATATGCACACACCTTCATGAGAATGCACACATACGTACATGTTCACACACGTGTGTGTCCATCCAGACGCATACATCTGACTCCACCATGAAAGCAAAGTGCTGATTTTCTGAATCCTTTAAGTCAAGCTCACATATTGGAATCGATCCTACCCCAGTCCCAACTGCATGCCCGTTAACTCACTCTTTGTTGGCCGAGATGAGGTCTGCCTTTCCCACAGAGGTTTTAGCATGGACCCAGGGGAACCCTAATTTTGGGAGGGGCATAGATACCCCAAGCTTCAGAACCACTCAGAAAGAAATAAGACTGATCAATCTGAGGCCTTCCTCCACAATCTCAGCAACTCCTGCTCCCCAACCCACCCCCGCACACACACTCAAGGCACTTTTCCCAGCATGGCTGTTCCTGCAGGGAACAGCAGCCTCGCCTGATCAGATGGCAGACAGAGTGCCTGACACCCAGACAGGCTGAACTTCTCTGCCCCAGGGCCCTACACAGCTGCGAAGTTGAAGCCATGGAGACGGCTTACCTCCACCTCCTGTTGTCATGGCGACGCAGCAGCTGGATGCATCCAGTCCTCCCAGACCGCCTGGGGCTCCCCACTAGGAGCTGCTTGTCCAGCCGGGCTTTTATGAGGAAGCAGCAAGGGGGCGGGGACTGCAGGTGTCAGGTGATTGGAGAGACCTGCTCCCCAGTCAAGGATCACCTGGTGCTCAGATGGGACAGGGCCACCCTCCCTGCGGATAACAGCACCCACATGCTCATGCACAAGACCCCAAAACAGACAGCCTTGCTGCTGCATTCGTGTGGCTCCAGTCTTCACTAGACACACTAAGCCCTTCCCATGCACCATCTCAGGCAGTCCTCTCCACCCCCTTCTGAAACAGGAACTATGAACCCCTCACTCTACAGTGGAGGGACCAAGATTTGGAGGGTGAAGTGACTGGCCAACCTCAGATGGATCTGAGTCCTAGATCTCTTAAACACTAAATTATGTCATCTTCTGGAATTTTGAAATTTTCATCTGTGACAATTATTCAGGGCCATGAGTGTCTGAACTGGGACCTCTGAGGATACATGAAATCTCTTCATTTTACAGAAGCAGCAACTGGGGCCCAGAGAGGTCCAGTGATTTGCTCAAAGTCACACAGCAAATTGAGGGCAGACTTGTAGTTCAACCTCCTGGCCCAAAGATGGGGTTTCCCTAGGACATCGAGCACCGGCCTCTGACACCCTGGGGGGATCCCCAAGTCCCAGCAGCCTCGGGAAACAGCTCCAAGCCTGGCCCCAGGTCAGAATCCTAAGGAAGAGCAGGAGGACCTCAGATTCCCACCTCATGCCCCAAGTACTGTCCAGAAACCACACAGCAATGCTATTCCCTAGAAGCAGATGCCTAGCCCAAGCAAGCGGTCACAGGGCCAGGGGAATAGTCCAACCTATGGACCATGGCCAGGAGCAACTCCGCTGCCTGCCTCACTGACCAGCTAGTCCATCGAGATGCCCCCAGCGTTAGGCTGGAATCCTAGCAAGGAAGCATGATTCCATCTAGGGGGCTGTGACCACAGACGTGGCTCCAAAATGATCCCTGGAGACCAGGTAGCCTCTTTGAAGCATGTTTTTCATTAGGAGGAAAAAGAATCTGGCCAAACTCATGAGCTTCGTGCTGGCCTCTGCAGAGCCTCAGGGAGCCTGGAGTGTGGGGGACCACCCGTATCCTCAGAGCTGGGGAGGAGAGTGGGGGACCACCCGTATCCTCAGAGCTGGGGAGGAGAGTGCCAGGAGCCCCTATCCAACTGCCCATTTCAACCATTTCCTGCAAAAGTCTGTACCTCCCCAGGCTCCAATCTGAATGGTCTCATTGGGCAGCCCAGGAAACTTCCCCCAAATCTTTTGCTCATCTAAGGAGCTGCAAGGAACGGGACATGATCCGGGTCTCTCCTAGTGTCTCTGCCAAGGAGGTGAGTCGGCTCCTGCGATGACACTGGGGTCGCTGAAAAGACTAGGATGGAGGCGATCTGCCTGAACGGGTCCCCTGCCCCAATGCTTTCTCTCTTTCCCTATACACACACACACACACACACACACAACACGCACACCAGAATGGACATAAGCAAGACTGCAAAGCACGCTACACCGAGCCCATCACCCGGGCAGCCCTGACTGCTGGCTCCAGGTGACAAGGAATCTCATTCACCCAAGTATCACCCCCACAAGCACCTTGTAAAGCCAACTTGAAAATACATCCAGCTCTTTCTCCCTCTGAGCTTTGAACTGGCCAAGAAGGGGGAGATTCATGAATCAAATTAAAGGGGCCCACTGCCCTCCCCCTGGCCCAGCTCAGCCTGAGAATCCCTTGCCATGCCTGCCTTTGGGGACCCCGTGGGATGCCCGGAGGAAGGACCCCCGGATGAGCCGGAATGTCCCACCCTCTGCCGGAGGAGAGAAAGTTTGTCATTACCCGGAGCTGGGCTGTCACCACTCGGTTGCCTACTCACCAGGCTCTGGGCACTGAACCCCCAGCCTCCGGGGAGCGGCTGGCCCTGGAAGCCCAGATGGGGGGCAGGAATCGTTTCGCAGTAGCTCTGCAGCCCGCTCCCTTATGGCGCCCTCTTAGCAGGTCCAGGCCCCTCAGTCCTTACCTGGGGGTCTCAGCCACTCGCAAACTCTGCCAGCGGAGCTCAGCAGGCGCCCGGGGTCTCTCTCTCTGCGACTCCCGCGTCCCGCTTGGCGCGCCCGCTCCGTGGGCGCCTTCCCAGCTGCCAGCTGCTGCAGTGGCATCAAGGAAAGCGGAGTCGGGCTTCTTTCTCTCCCTCCAGGCTCGTCCAGCCGGGCCCCGGGCTATTTCTTCGGATCTGGTGCAAGAGGCATCCTCCGCGCCTCCAGCGGGAAAGTGGAAGAGTGTGCGTCCTGGATTGCAGCAGCGGCGACAGCGGTGGCCGGGGACGAGGAGGCGGTGGCGACGCCAGCCGGTGAGCCGGGGAGGCGGGCGGAGGCGAGAGGAAGTGAAAGCCGGGCTCCTGCGAAGCCG